AGTTTTTAAATAAAAACACACAAGACTTTTTATGCAACGAAAAAAGCTTGAGGGTTATATCATGTAATTAATAAGACAACCATGTTGATCATTCAGATAGTATAATTTATGATAAACCTTGTGATTATAACCTTGATGATAATCATTTTCTTATAAAGTATAATAGGTGAAATGTGCTTTAATTTACAATTCATGAAGTAAAAAAGAGTTTAATCAGCCTGGAATCGTATGCAAAAAAGAAAAGAATCTAGTTAAAGAATTCATGTTGTTATGGCTTTCAAACCATAGAGACGTGTTGTGGGAGTTACGGACGTGCACACAGCTGTTGCCTGTGTTAACATCTGGGATCTGTCTGTTAGAAATCTGTGATGTTTGTGTTCTGTCAAGTTTTCAGCTGAATGAAGAGTCTGTGAGTTGCTGCTTTTCTGAAATCTCATCTCATGACTTTTGTCTCTTGCTCTCAGCTGAACATCATGAGCTTCGTGGCAGAGCTGTTGGAGTGGTTCGAGGTCAAGAAGCCTGATTTCGTTCAGCCGATACAACCCATCGACCTCACAGGTCTGCGACCGATGCTCTTCTGTCACATTGTTGCACTGGCTGTTGGTGTTTGAGAAATACTGTAAATATCAGCGTCTGAATCTGCAGCTTCTCTCCGTGTCTTCCAGACATCTCAGGCTTCCTGGACTGTACAAGTCCTGTCAGTGGAAACAGCAACAGGTAAGAGAAAAAAGATTCAACATGAGATCCTGCAGCAAACCATAATAAAATAAAATAAAGTCTGACCTTACAGAGTTAGAAGCTACACTGGTTTATGTTTAGAATCAAACCTGTAACACATTGTTGTCAGGAAATTACATTCTGAGTTTGTTTTGATGAAAAAAAGAAGTTGTGAATGACGAGTTTTTGCTGTTTTGTCCTGGGTTCCAGTGGCTCTCCGTCCTTTATCTTCAAACAACCCTTCGTGCCCATCTCCTCTCCAGTGACACCGGGTAAAAAAAAACAGAGCACGAGAATGTTTCTTTAAAATCAATTTACCAAAATAACCTTTCTAATTTACTTTTTAACGTATTTTCAGAAAACAAAAGTTGGACAAAGAAACAAATCAGGTAGATTCATTTAAAAGCTTTTGTGTTATTTCTATAGTAAATGTTGTGTTGCTTTCATGTTTTATCTTAATTTCTAAATCTTCTTACTTTGGCTTCTGTGGTTTCTGCTTCTCCATATTGCCTCGTGATCCATCCATTGGTCCATCCCTCCATCATCACCCAACTCTCCGCAGTCGTCCTCTGTCAGCAGTGACTTTCAGCATCCCATTTGGGCTGGACAGTGATGTTGACATTGTCATGGGAAACACAATAGATTCTGTCTTTCGCTCCGTCAGCACTGACAGCCTAACCACCGGCATCCCTGCAATGACCTCACCGGTGACTGCAGCAGGGATGACCCGTGTCCCGTACAGCCCTCCGGAGGACCTCAGCCACCTGGTCAGCGCCTCGGCCCCATCGCAGAACTCGTCCTGGGGACCGTACGCTCACACGGCTCCACTAGGGGAGCTGCCAACTATCGAGGAGGCGCTACAGGTGGTTCATACTCCCAACAGCAAAGATCGGAAGAAGGGAAGGACGCCAGAGAAGGTTGGAAGAGGGGTGTTCGGAGGACGGCCAGAGCCCAGGTTACGCCCCGAGGGAGCTCCTGCTGGTTTTTTCCTGCACTCCCCTGAGGAAGATAATCAACAGCTCAGTAGCTCTGCTCCCTGTCGATCTGGGATCCTCTACCGGCCGGCCGGCGGAGAAGCAGGTGACACTGAAAGGCAAGGAAGGGGAAAGAGGAGGGAGAGATCAGGGCGGAGCTCTGATATGTCACGTGATGACGATTCTGTTCTACGAGATGGCAGCGTCGACTCCTCCGAAGCATCGGACGAGAATGGTCCGAGAAATGTGCCTGGTAACATTCGACCCAGTAATGGTCGCCACGGAAACCACAGCAACAGCAATAGTCCAAGAATGACGAGCTTTGCTGAGCGTCGAGACAACAGAAGAAGACATCCTGCTGCTGCTGGAGAGGAGTCAGCCTCTGCTGCGACACCAACAACCCCAGGAACTCCACATACGCCATCAACCCCAGCGGGAGCACCTGGCCGCCAGGACAGCCCGGGTCCCAGGGGCCCCGAACCAGGCTCTGAGGCCTGGGAGTTGGGCGCTCGTCTGGAGGAAAAACGGAAAAGCATCGAAGCCCAAAAAAGACGCATTGAAGCCATCTTTGCCAAACACAGACAGAGGCTTGGAAAAACTGCTTTCCTCCAACTAAAAAAAGAGCAAGGAGGAGGGGAGGGAGCAGGGGAGGATACTCTCAGCCTGGAGGAGCGCCTCACACACATGGAGGAGCAACTGAAAAAGGAGGAGGAGAAGGAGGAGAAAGAAAAAGATGGAGATAAGGAAAAAGAGAAACCTTCTGTTTCCAACCCTCCTCGGTTAGAGAAGCAGGTTACATTCTCTATTGAAAGCAAGAAAGGGGCAGAAAAGGAGAAAGCAGGTGAAGCTGTCATTGTGGAATATAACGAAGTGGTGCAGAAACTGAGTGAAGCTCTGCAGTCGCTGCAGAAGGACATGCAGAAACTTACAGATCAGCAACAGCAGCTCATGAGCAACCAAAGACCCAGGAATACATCCAAGACCATTGCAAAGTCAACAGCTAGGAGTAACCTCAAAACTCCTCCCAAAACTCCTCCCCACACTCCAACCAAGACACCGCCGAGAACCCCGACAAAGACTCCCACCAGGACCAACACTAAAGCTTGGGTGATCCCTGCTACTCCCAGTCTCCCCTCTGCCTCCTCTCCGTCACGACGTTCTCACACTCTCTCGCCCAACTCGCCACAAACTATCATCTCTTCCTCCTGCCCCGCTCCTCGCACCAAGATTCACTCGTCCTCCACGCCTCGCAGCCCCAAACATCAGCAGCGCCCCCAACATCAACGCCCCCATCCACGGCCTTCCGAACTCAAGTTCCCTCCACTCAATCGCGTCTTGTCGACGACCCAGACTGTCGACAACCTCCCCCACTTGCGCCGTGTATCCCCCAGCAAGTGTCAGGTTCAGACCTCGTCTTCCTTTCGTATTGGTGGTCCAAAGACTCCTCAGGAACCTCCTCAGCCTGCCCAGCAGCCACAGCCTGATGAGAGCACATCAGACACAGGCTCCAGCGAGACACCCACCCAGTTCAGCTTGGAGCTGGAGCAGGAGGACCTAGGGGCTGAGGGGGGACTTCCAGTCACTTCACAGCCCAGACAAGAGCATCCTAGGGCTGCTGGTGGCAGCAGCTCTGGTGCTCCTTCAGAGTGCTCATTTGAGAGCGAGACGTTGTCCCTCTTTGCTGGGTACGGCACAGGAGGTGAAGGAGGGAGAGTTGTAGGTGCAGGGAAACGCGGCAGCCTGATTGAGGCGTTGTTATCATCTCTTGGAGGAGCAGAGGGAGGCAGCAATGAACCAACCGATGAAGGACAAGAGTTTTCCTCTGATTCTATGAGTGATCGCACAGAATCTGCTGCGGAACCTGCGAGAGGATTTGTCCCAGAACCCTTCGATCCTTTGGAGCAACTGAATCGTGCAACAGAAGCCGTGGATTTACAAGAAGAACAAACAGAAACCAAAGAAGACACAAGACAGACAGAGACTTTGGAACCAAGTGGAGAACTGAATGAGCTGGAAACCAGAGGAGGAGTTGGATTCTTCTTTAAGGTGAGAACGAGAGGGGGAAATAAGAGTTTGTTTTGCATGCACGTTAATTCTGTCATGATAATTGGGTGTACGTGCTTGTGTTGTTGTAGGAGGAGGTACATTGTGAGGGGGAGATGGCCCAGAAAAAAGCTCTCCTGTTGGAAAGACAGCAGAAGAGAACAGAGGAGATGAAGAAGAGGAGGCAGTGGCATGAGCAAGAAAGAGAAAACAGGTGAAGCACAACCACGTGCATCTTATCAGCCTGAATCCAAGTTTGAGAATCTAAAGCTAATCTGGTCCACATCAAAATAACCTATTTCCTGTTCTCAGACCAGCGGCATCTCCCTGCAATACACCTCCTGCAGGCACCACCTCCCCTTCCCCCACACCTCCCGCTACTCCGGCCCGTTGGGGAGATTTCACACGAGGGGAGCATGCATGCCGGCACCAGCTCAAGATCATGGACGATCTGGACAAAATGCTGCGGCAGAAATCATCCAATCAAGGACGACCTTCCGCGAAGAAAACCCGCTCTCGGCCTCGCAGCATGACCAGAGAGGAGACTCATCTGTCTCTGAGCCCCGCCAAGGGAACAACTGGTAAAGTCAAAACTGAGAGAAGTCAACAAAGTAAAGCATCTACAGAAGATGATTTGAATGACTGAACTCTTTTGTGTCTTTATGTTTAGGCTCTAAATTGACCAAAGTCTACTCCCACTCCTCCCTCAACCTGGCAGCCACGGGGGAGCTACGAAAACCTGGTAGTGACCCCACTAAGAAACCCCACAGGTAAACTCCCGCACAGGACATTTTGATGCGTCATTTACACAGAATGTAGCCCCGATGCTAGCATGACTTAAGATGCATCAGGTCTGGTTGGTTATTTGGTACTTTTAGACTTATTGTTTCGTTCAGAGTGAAATGTCTTGAAAGCTATTGGATGGATTGACGTCTGCTACGGAAATTCATCGCTAATAAATTGTCGATAAAATTGTCAGTTCACTGACATGGTTCCTCAAAAGATTTGTTCTGGGAACAAATTGCTCTGAGATGTCATCATGTCATCATGTCGAAAAGGTGGATCTGCTCATTGTTTGGCTTCTCTCCAGCAGCCGCCCTGATTCTCCTTTGGCATGTGTGACACCGAGCAGACTGGCCAATCAGAGCCGGGATAAGGACTCGGAGAGTGGGTCCACTGGCACCTCACCCGCCCCAGAATACACAGGTACAGTGCTACAGCAGTGGAGTATCGCAGTACTCCTACACATTTACAAAATGCTATAAAACTATACTCATGGATTAGTATAAAAAAAAACCTGTCTGTGTTTTCAGGTCCAAAGCTCTTCAAAGAACCGAGCTTCAAGTCCAACAAATTCATCATTCACAACGCTCTGTCTCGCTGCTGCTTGGCTGGAAAGGTCAACGAGGCACAAAAAAACAGGATAGTTGAGGTAGAGGACTTATTTTAGTTTTTATCGAACCTGTTATCAACATTTATGAATCTGATAAAAGAATTCTGTTACTTCTGACTTATCTTCATGATGAAAACTAAAAGGCCGATATGGCTTGTTTCATTTTTCTTTCTCTTTCTCTCAGGAGATGGAGAAGAGTCCGGCCAACCACTTCCTCATCCTCTTCCGCGACACCAGCTGCCAGTTCAGGGGCGTCTACACCATGAACCCCGACTCCCAGGAGCTGGTGCGATTGGCCGGCGTGGGTCCCCGGGCGATAAGCTCCGCCCAGGTGGAGTCCATCTACAAATACAGTTCGGACAGGAAGCAGTTCAGCGCCATCCCCTCTAAAACCATGGGCATGAGCGTCGATGCCTTCACCATCCCCAGCCATCTTTGGCAAGGAGGAGGAGGAGGAGGAGCAGCAGGAGGAGGAGGAAGCAGGAGAGCGAGCATTACTAAGAAGGCGGTGATTTCAAAGTGAGGAATACAACACAACATCACAGTGACATGTGACTAAAGAAAACACTATAATCTCACTAATTGTAGTGAAAAATTAAAAAAGGTCACATGCACACGGATAAGCTTTTGAGAATGTGTGTGCATACACGTGTCTTGCCCTTGGACTTAACTAGAAATACAGAATATTTAAAAGATATTTCTACTCCCCCGGTCTGTGCATGAAAACATCAACAGCACAACTTCGTTTCCCCGTCACAGAGAATAAAGACGCACTCGTGTCCAGAGTGTACAGAGGGAGGTTTTTTTAAATGTTAGGTCAATTGCACAACGAAGAGTTACTTTTAAAAAGTCTCGTTACTTATACTTTCATTGTTTAAAGTACAAACTTGAAACTTTATTAAGTTGTTTTTCTGAAAAACACGGACTTTCATGTGACATCGGATGACTGTCCGGTCCCGTAGAAAATCAGTTTTATACATTGAGCCAAACAACGGAGAAAATGCCTTCTCGTGTCAGAGTGACTGGCAGGACTTTCATTTTGTACAAACCCTCGAGTTTATTTCTACCCACGTTTGTCAGCAGGTCGACCAAAGCGCATTTGGTCCTGCAAAATTGCGATAGCCATAAGTTTACGACGCAGAGAGCAGAGGTGAACTTTGTTTTGTCTGGACCGAGTCAAAGATCTGGTGGTTACCACAGCATGAATGGTTATTCACTGTGAAAGATATAAACTTAAAGTGATATCAGAGTAAGAACTTGCGGTTTGATGATGTTGATAATGGGTACACGTGTGAGCAACAGATGCCAATCAAACCACTTTTGTAAGCTGAGCTAAGAGTGTTATGAGGATGATGTGTCAACATTACATTTAGAAATACGTGGATTGTTGCTCTCTGGGTCAGGGACGGGTTCTGATAACCAGTTCCACTTCTGGATCTGGTTCTAAGTTGATAGAATTCCTGTGCTTGTTCAGCTCTGAGGCAAATGAATCCTTTATCGAATCTCTCGTTCACGATCCGTCCGAGTTTTTGAAATGTGCATTAAAAAAAGGGGAAAATGAAGAAACCCTGCCTTAAATATTCTGCTGATATTCAGGTTCATGATTTTAATTTGTGTCGTAACTGGAAAAGGTTTAGAAGCTTTAACGTTCAGAAAACACATCACCTTCCTCCGTCGCTGCAGCTCCTCTTTTCAGGCTCTGTCTTAAACACTTAGCTCATGACTCTTTGTTTGGGGGCGTGTCAGACTAGCTGTGCATTACGTAAACGTGTCACATGACGTCACAATTCACTGGAGAAATTGTTCGGACTTCTGACGAATTTTACCACAAACTTTGCAGACTTTTTACATACACAAAAATCAAATATACTGTAAATCACCAGAGGAAAGAAGAGCTAAAAAAGCATCATGTCTCCTTTACGAGCTGGTGTTACGCTTTTTCCGTGACTTTTGGCAGAGCAACAACAAACGTGCTGTCTGCTAACTTTGTGTACGTAGAGAAATCTGTCATTTATTTGTTTACATTTTAGTGACATTTAACTAAGATGTCTTCGTTTCTCAACAAACAAAACTACCAGACAAGAGTCGATAAAGGATTCCTAATGATTTGGATTTGTTGAAGTTTCGCCTGAACCGGATCCCTGGTCTTAGCAGAGTGCGTTCTGTTAAATCGGTGTGTTTCAAACCAGCATTCATGTATGAAAAAACAGATTAAACTCCACAGATGAAACTGTTTCTCTCGTTCATTTTCTCCTCGTACGCATGAATCGAACCTGCCACCATCGTTCAGCAGCAGTCACTCAGGTGAGTAAACTCGTGACTGACCGGTGAACAGCGGATCTCAACCAGCTTCGTTTGGAATATTCAGAAGCCTCGTGTTCGATGCCGCCGACGTCAGAGGCAGCTTCAGTTTCTGCAGCAGAATCAGCGTTAAGAAAAAGGTCAACGCTGACATTAAGTGTGCACCCCCCTCTCCGTTTGAATGTTTGAATTATGCAAAAAACAGCTGAACCGATTTCCACAAGATTTGGTGACAGGATGGGACAGGGGTCCAGGAAGAACGCCTTCAATTTCCGGGCACATCCAAACAAAGGGGTGGGGTCAGATCCTGGAACCACCGACCGAAGACGACAGAAGAATCTGAGCAGAGTCACTCAAAATAAGGTGATTTCACAAAGTTCGATGAACAAGAGGAGCTGACGAAGGTGAGCGGGTGTTATTGATTAACCAAACGAGGGTTTTTAAAATTCAGCACGCCGCTCAGGAAACTAAATGAGTCTCTTGGTAAATCAGGTCTAAAGCTGCAAATAACACAATGAGCCCAGAGTTTGTTACGGGTTTTTATTGCACCTTCCTCAGAGACATACAGTGTTTATCTTACGCAGCAGTTTGTACAGAATTTAACTGATATGACTTTTATTGCATTGGTTTGATCCGCTGTGATTCTCTGGGATCTTTGGGTCAGTTCAACCTCCGTTAGATCAGAGTCAGGATTTAAGCTTCGCTCTGTGACGATATTAGGAAGTGATTTGGATTCAGTGTCTCTGGATGAAGATAAAAATCATGCAGAAGTGATGCGGGGCCGCTTTTTTTTACTGTTTGCACAAAACAAGTTAAAGAGTTAAAGGTGTGAAGTTTCCATCGGGAAGTTTTGTTATAAATCAAGCAAAGCACATTATATCGTGATTTCTTTAAAGTCAGACCAATATGCTTGATGCATTTCGTACTGCTTAATATACATGAAAGTCTTTTAAAGGATTTTAAACCTCAATAATTTAAGTAAAACAGATTTTTATTGGTAGATCTGTTTCAGCGACTTATCACTACCAACTGTTATTAATATTCAGTATAAATATATATATATACTTTCTTTACTCTTGAGGTTGAATGTTCAGTCATGTGCTTAAATCCTGAAATATTCAAGTTAAAGTAAACAGGAAGGAAAATCCCTCATGTAACTTTTTTATGCAGGTTTGGAATAAACTTGTGATTCCAAGACATTAAAACATCGACAAGTGAGAATTCGATATTTCATTGATCTGAGAAATTTTAAATTTAAAACACAAAGTTAACAATAATATAGCCGCTGTCTTTAAAGATACTTTAGCGCGAATACATAGACATGGTAAATTTAAAAAATAATAATAGTTATAAATATAATTTGGGAAATCCAATAAGACATAGTATTAAAGTTTCAGTTTTAGTACTTAGGTTTACGGCTGCACCGAAGATCCCAGTGAATGTTTCCAATGATTTATAATGATGTTGCCACATGTCATGAAAACAACTGACAAGAAGCCCGATGGACAATTGAAGCTAAATAATGATAATAATTAATAAGAGCATAGAACACAGTAAAGTTTACTCTGATATAATGACCTAACGTGTCCCAGCGTACATTTTATTCATAATGATATTATTACACACAGGTTTCCATTAAACCGTCGCTCTCCCTGCCCTCACATCTGACACAGTAACTTTGAATTCTAACTTTCTGACTAACACGTACGTCTTATGTAATCCTAACTGCAGTTGTATGATCAGATCGTGTACAGGCTTGTGTTTCTGATGCAGGAAGCTGCAGGTGCAAAGCTGTGATAGAACATATAGTGAATCACTAAAAGAGGAGTTAGTGTAACACACCGGAATAAAGATATGCGTGTCCACACCTCCACTGCTTCTTTTCTACTTAGACTCCATGTTAATATACCTGGTGGCTGCTGACAGACAACATGAAGGTTGTTAGTGAGCGTTGTCTGGCTCCACCGCAGGGCTGCTGTCAGTCTGTGCGTCCACTGAGCTGTGGGCCGTGCTGTTCCACAGGACAACGTCCGACTGGGGCTCCAGAGAAGGGCTCACAGCGCCAGGGTCGGAGGAGGAGGAGGAGGAGGAGGAGGAGTTGGTCGTTGGGTCCAGAGGGATCTGGACGGTGGTGGGAGGATGGCCGACGTCTGTGGGCAGGTGGGATGAGGCACTGGGAGGAGTGTCGGATGGGGGGAAAGCAGGAGGGTCAGACGGCGTTTGTGACGAGGAGTTGGATGCTGCATAGGAGGAGAAGTTGGAGGGGGTGAGTGAGGGGGAGTCAGAGAGTGTGTGTGGGAGAGGGTCGGAGGGAGGGAGCGTGGGGGAGTCGGTCAGAGTCGGCCTGGCTGTGTGGGCGGGGGTCGGTTCCTGTGGATCTGTGCAAACTGGCTCCCCCTCGGCCACATACCACACCTCGTTGTGTCTGTTCAACAGCTTCAAGGGGCTGGACACACGGACACACAGACACACACACAGACACACACACACACACAGAGAGAGAGAGAGAAAGAGTGAGGAAGGTGAAGACAAGAATGCGAAGAAGTGAGATTAACGGTTTTAGTAGAACCTGTCGTAGCCGACTCCGTAGTGGTAGCTGTGGTTGTACGAAGCTCGAACTCTCTGCAGTTCTTTGGTCAGTTGGTGCGAGTGAAGCCTGGAGGTGACCGACAGCATCCAGCCTCCGTAGCTCCTCACGTACACGTCCATCTCCGGCATCTCCGTGAAATACAGCTGCCATAGAAACATCAGTAAACAACAAGCATCACCGTCAACACTGCAGAGACACAAATACTCGTGACTGTGAAGTACAAGAGGTTTTAGAAACTTTAAGTTAACAGAAACTTTTTAAATTAAATAAACTTTAAATGGGCTGAATGAAGTTTTTTTATATATATAAAATACATATAATTATAAATAGAATGGTTTTGGAGAAATTCTGTAAATAAAAAATCAAAACTCTTCAGATGGAAAAATAAATCTCAAGCTTGTAGTAAAGATTGACCAAACTAATATATTATAATTTAGTCAAGTTTGTGTTTCTATATTAATTTGAATATTATATTTACTTATGTATTGATTCAGCTTTGATTCTTTATGTTGTCACCAAATGACACGATCACGAACGTGAAACACAAATTATACAGAACAAAATCATTCCCTTAAAAAAACATTTTCTTTTAAATTTGTAAAAGTGAAGGGAGTTAAATATTAATATTGAGTATTAAGATTGTAATGTACTTTTTATTCATTTGATATAGTAGTATTTGGGAACATGTAAAATGAAACTGCGCCGATGCATTAACGATGCATCATTATCTATTTCTATTCTGCTGAGGGAATAAAAACTGTGCACTCATCTATCGATCGTCAAACAAAAACCAGTGATCAGATGACACATCAGATCAGATGAAGGGAGGATGAAGCTTCCTCCCTCCTCATCCCTCGGTCCCTGCTGGGCTCGGCTCACCTTGTCACAGGTGGGTGCGGGCGGTTTGTCCTGATAGGCGGCCGGCAGCGGGAAGTTTAGCGTGTAGATAGCCGGCTCCCACATCCTGGTCTCCTCTGGGATCTTGACCAGGACAGGAGCGGTCATGTCCATCTGGATGCCTGTAAACACACAGGATGTCACACACGAGACAGACACACTTACTGAGGACGACTGTCCTCTCCGGCGAAGTCCTCACCTCCATCATTGGCTCCGGTGATGTACTGGAAAAGTCTCCTGAAAGCCATGGCTGCACCCACTCCCATGAAATAAGCCTCGGCATCAGTTGACACCCAGCGTGTGGGGCTGTAGTGTCGCACCTGAACACACACGTTAAAAATGTGAAGTGTGTGAATGATATTTATGGGCGTCGCCACTGATTCCCCAAATCGATTTTCGATTCAACTTTTATTTTTTTATTTTTAGAGAACTAAAGCTATAAACTTGGTGCATTATACACATATATAATGATAATATAGCATAATAATAATAATAACCCTTAATAAAAGTTTGGAATTCATAAGATTATAGAGGCTGACATTTGAATTATAATAAATAAATAAAACATGAATAAAATAAACACAAAACCAAGACAATTAAAAAACTCTCTGGCTCTGTTTCCAAAAAACATTCTTGAGTTAATATTAAACATTTGTCACAGGACATATGTCACCAGCTTAGTACGTGTCACTGGGAAAGGGCTTTAATATAAAAAGATCGATTCCTCCTTTTTATGAATGGATCAGATCATTTAAATGATTAGGTTTAAATCAGAGAATTGATTATTTAAACCCAGCTGGTCTATGAGCTGGTCGACTCCACTCACCTCATATTCATCTGTTTTGCAGACGAGCTCGTACTGCAGACATTCCTTCGACTCTGTGCAGAAGCTGGTGTTGGTGCTCGGCCTGTAACGGAGTGGAAATTCTTTATTCTTTATTCAGATCTCTATCAGCGTCTGTTTCAGATGTCACTAGTCTTCTGGGGTTTCACACACACGCAAACAAAAGTTCTCCAACACTGATGAGGAACGATCCTCTGCACAGATGTTAGATGAAGATGGAGCCTCGGTTCTCACTTGAATATACATGTATGAGGTTATTACAACATGGATCTGTTAACAGAGAAGATTCTGGCTCAGACCAAAAAGCTTCAGAGTCCAACAGAAGCATTTCAGTATAAAACCCAACCAGAGGGAGCAGAGACAAGTCTGAGTCACTGTAAGTTACGACAAGAAAATTGGCAACAAACATCGAAGTGTCGTCAGCGTATTGAACGACTGAAAGAAAACATGAAGAGACTGTCAATTTTTATATAGTAATTATACATAGCATAGTAATAGAATATGTTTTTACTATTGAGAGATACTACATTAAAGATTGTAGAGTAGTTTTTTAACTGAACTTGGCAGTTTAGTTTAAATAAAAGAAAAAAGTTTTCAGTTTCGAGCCTTGACCTTGAGACAACCAGAGGTCTTTGTCCTGAAGGCTCCACCTAGTGGCCAGAGGGCGCACTGACTCCTTTAAAACACAGAGGGGCGGGACATTTGTTTATGTAAGGTGTGGTAGCTGTATTTGTTCCCATCTCACTTACAGTCTTTCAGCTATAGAAGACTCTTGCAGCCAGGTTGCGGAGGCTGTTATAGCAGCAGATTCACGCTGAACGTTTTCAGCGATCACGCCAATAACAGGGATCCACATACTTCTGACCTTGTGGTATAAATAATCCACTTACCCAACACTTCCTGCAGCTGAAGCCACGAGGGCCAACAACACGAAAACTGGAGTGAAAGTCCTGAAGAAGAACAGACACACAGAAATCACACACCTTCATTTAAACTGCTTCTGCAATTAAGTTTAAAAACAATTAACGAGAAATGAGACGATTGACGAACTAAAGCTCGAACAAATTCATCGAACACAAGAAAAAAGGTCACTTTAAAGCTGTGAAGCTCGAGTGGCGGATCAATTATTTATCTCAAGACCTGTTGTTCCGGTTTAAAATCCTGAGGGCATCAAGCTCTTAAGGATTTCGCTCTCAAAGTTGTTTTCATCTGTAGAATCTGTGGTTTATTTGTGGTTTATGAAATAATGAGCCATTTATTGTGATAATCATTGATATCGACCGATTCTATCTTAAAGGAATAAAAAACAATAAAACTGGCTTTAATACCTTAAAACAAAGTTTATTGAGACGACATGAATGAAGCAAGATTTTTCCTTATTGAGTCGTGTGAAAGACTTTGGAATGAATGAATGAATGAGTGAATGAACGAGGCCAATTGTGGGTGTTTGTGACGAATGCGTTTTTAAAATGGAACATTATCATTATGATTATTATTCAAGTTATCATCTTTATTATGATTATTATAGATATTATCATAATAATAATTAGCATTATTATTATTGAAAGCCTTATTATGTGAGCGATAAACGATGCATCATTATCTATTTCTATTCTGCTGAGGAAATAAATACTGTGCACTCATCACTGCTCTCTGTGATCAGATGACACATCAGATGAAGGGAGGATGAAGCTTCATCCCTCCTCATCCCTCGGTCCCTGCTGGACTTGGCTCACCTTGTCACAGGTGGGTGCGGGCGGTTTGTCCTGATGGCTGCTGGCAGCGGGATTATTATAGGTATCATCATCATCATCATCATCATCATAATACGATGAAAGCGTTATTATGTGAGCGTTTACTTTAAACTAGACCTATTCTCTGTCTAAATAAAGGAACTATTAAAGGATTTACTGTAGGAAGATGAAAATCATCTGCAGTGGATGGACTCTGGTTTAAAAGGGATTTTTGCTGCAGACATGAAACTGGACACGTCCTCCTGCTCTCACTGCGCCGCACAGAGGAGACAGAGTCAGGGACAGATCTGCTGCATCATCAGCCTCATGTCTCCTCTCATCCAAAGGCGTTTTGAGGTCATGGAGGAAGAGCGTTCAAGATCTCATCTTACCCCCCCCAGATCAGAGCCTTTAAAACGGGTCAGCTCCGAACAATCACCCGATTAAACACCAGCTGAGGAGGAATGAAGGTGATTTATGAACAAAATGCTCCAATCCCCAGGACACGTTCACACGGAGTCTGCGCATGCTGATGGATTGTTTTTGATCTTTTGCACGTGCTACATGTAATAATCCCATGAAAGGGTACAGGTCTCCATGCACGCGCATGAGGGGGATGAAGAATGACGCAGGAATGAACTTTATTTCCCATGACGCTGCAGAAAAGTCGCATCGGCAGACATGATATTTCTGCTGTTAGGACAATGATCAGGTGACACGATGTTAATTCAAAGCAGAATAGAAAAAGCTCTGGTACTCACATGTGCGCAGGGAGGAGCGGGCTGGATGGAGACTGCAGTCTGCTCCGGTGCTCGGTTACTGCGGACTGCGGAGAGCACCGGAGGAGGGAGGGGCTGAGCCGGCACCAGCACTGACATCACAGACTGGACTGGACCATTTGAATGAGTCTGTGATGTGCAGCACTGACACCACAGATCTGATGATCCGTCAAACAGAGGAAGAGGAACATGAAGGGGTTTAGTTCTCTCCTCGCCTGGTGATCCGCACTACACCAAGTATGTACATATATACACAACACGAAGTATGAGCTGTACTTCAAGTTAGAATTGCAGGTTTACACTCTGTATTTGATATTAGGCAAGGTTCCAAGTGAATTCTTCGTGGTTTAATTCTGTTTCTCTGAGGATTTCCAGGTTGTTTGCGTAATTTAAAGACACCTGTAAGTTAAGTTGAGTTATTATTATTATCTATTGATCAACCACTTCTTTTCTCAATAAATGCATTAGCCTGATGTGACGTGATAAAATCCAAAACCTCAAGATATTAAACTCACGATGGAATAAAAGAGTTTGAAAAAAGAAGCATTCTTTTGGGAAGATTGAACTCATTCAAATATTCAATTTAAATGTCATTTTGATTGACTTAACAACTGATCTAATAGTTGTAGCTTAAAAAATAAGACCAAACATGGCCTGTGTCCTGTACATTAACGTGGAGGACGATGGATGTGTGACCTACACCTGCAGCATAGGTGGTGAGAAGCTTCGGCTTCACTTTTGAGAGCAGTCTTTAGTCTAAGTCAGACACAGCGACGTCCGAGACTCTAAATGATGCAGCACGCTGCACTTACTCTAAACACGACATAGTTACACTTCTGTAAAGAGGCAAACAAAATATAAAATCATTAAACTGTGTCGTTTCTGACTTTTGACAATGCTCAGCTAATCAATTCCCCGTTTCCAGCCCTTATGCTAAGCTAACTGCCTTCTGACGCATTTAACGAAAAGTGGCATCAGTTCCAAATGTCAAGAGTGAATTCGTAAAAGCATTAAAAAAAAGGAATAAAACATTTCTTCGAGACAATCGTGCCTGTAACAGCTTGATTTGAGATCTTTCCAGAACACCAGCTTTATTGTGACAGTTCACACAAACAGCTTCCTGTACAAGCACAAAACCTCCTTCTCTCATTTGGTTGACTGTTTGTTACGTCTCATCATCAGGAGCCGGAGACGCAACAACAGTTTGCAAACACTGTGCAGCTCTGTCGTCCCTGTTCGAGAGTTTGTGTGTGTGTGGTTAAATCTCAGTAGTCTTTCATTGATTCCTCTCGTTCACTCCTCCTCCCTTCCGTCTGTTAAAAAGGAATCTTTCTCGTTACCATCTGAAACTGTCTACAAAGCATCTATGCAGTTCTTATCAAAGTGTTATGTGCCTGCTTTTGTATCAACAAGTCTCTTGTAATTTATTTACACATGGCCGTCTACCTTACCCGGCTGCACACGTTTTCTGGTCGTTCACGAACCAATAAGTCATCAATAATTATTAAAACAAGCTTCACATCAAGAGCAGAAAAAGAAAAACAAAACCAGGTAAAAACCAAAAGCAGATGGAATCAAAATAATCAGTTAGGTCACCTCTCTGCCCAGATTGGCACAGAAAGGCCAATAATTAAAAAGAAAACACGGCTGTTGTTGAATAGAAGCAGGGTCACCGCTCTGGTTACTTAAGAAACTGATCCAAAGTCCACACGTTGAGTTGACCTCAACCACTAAAGCACTAATTTACAGCAGCGGTCCATGTGAAGGACTCTCACCTCGCTAACATAAACAATAATACTGAAATAGAACATCTCAATTTGCAATAAGTTCATATATTGAAATATATAAACCTCTTACAACCGTTTATATATATTTCAATATATAAATCAAATATATAAAAAAAGTAGCACACTGTTCTGTGTGGTGGTGAAGCTGTATAATGACTGAAGGGACATTACTGAGTCCTGGACACGTGTCGGAAAAGGTGCAACACATTAAAGACTGTTGCCTGCCATTTTTTTTAAATATATGTACTGATTAGCCTGTTACCTGAGTTTCGGGCTATTGTCTCCAAAAAAGAATGGTTGTGTTCAAATCTTGTGTCGTCACACATTCACACACGTGAACTCACATCACACACGAAATGGTACAGCTAAGAGGCTCGCAGAAGTACCGTTTAAATAGCCAATACAAACACACCTGAAAGCAAGTCTTTCTCTAGAATGATAATTATCTTTGGGGAGAGATAGAGGGGGGCGGGGTGGGGATGGGGGTGGGTGTACACAGAGAAAGGCGAGGAAGAGAGATGGAAACAGTAAAGAACGTCAGAGCTCCTTTCCATATCTCCGCCCATCCATGTGGCAGGAGCTCGTCTCCTCCTGAAACCTTGCAGAGAGTAAAGTCTTTTTTGTTTTGTATGATTTTTTTTTTTCTTTGCATAGCCAGACAGTGGACGCGTCTCCTCTCTGGAAGCACGGCCTTTTTTAAAAACTCTTGCCGCACCGCAGGAGTTTCAAAGTGATATCCGTCAACGTGGGTGGAGCGCCTTGGTCCGTGTGCATCCCTTCAAACCAGGCTGGCCAGGGGATGTGTTTTAGTGCGTCCATCCAACAGATGCGGCGTCCTGCTCACAAGGTGGACTCTCTCTGGCGTTCGCGTCCGTTGGACGTCTTCTTCACTTTGGAAATCCCCTCCAGAGCCCCTGACTCAGTCACTCTGCATGTGAAGAAAAGCAAAGAGGAGCAACAACACTTAACTTTATAGAAATCTCTTAATTTGATCAGAGCAACAACTTCTTTCCTGTGATAGTGTTACCTCAATCCATTACAGATTTAAAACACACAAAAAAATAGGTTTACATCAATATATTTTATTTGTATAACACTTTAAGTAAAGCTCAAACACACCTTATGGAGGATTTTTAAAAAACAGCAAAAAAAAGCTTGACTGATTCAAAAGCAAAGTTTGATAAAGTGCAGCGAAAACAGGCGTTGCAAATAAATCATGATGCGTATGAAGCATGTGACTTATTAGTCACGTCTTCCCAATGTTTTGATTGTCCACGAGGTCTGACTTCTGCTTTTAATCACGTCATCTTTTTGGAGAATTGGTGCCATCAGCTGTTTATCCCAAATGCACCAGCTTCTAATACTCACCTTTACGTTACGGTTCATTTGTTTTTTGCTGGTTTTCGGAAAAATTCAATTCAAACATTTGGATGGAAACCTGGTTACTGTTGCATTCAGACAGCTACAGATTAAATACGTGAGGAGAAATAGAAGAAAGATTAGAGTTCAATAGATTAAGTGGAGGGAAGGACTCATGCAGACGTGTGTACTCACACTTCATCCATCTCATTGTCCTCCTCGTCCTGGGGAAGCTGGAGGTACGGGTTATTGGATGCCGGTCGGAACTTGTAGCCCGTCAACACAAAAAAGATCAGAGTGGACACTTCTACCAGAAACTGGAGAAACATAAGAGAGTGGGTGTTTAATGACAGATGGTAGGAATATTGTATACGATGTGTGCGCCAGTTCCAAAGAGATTAGCACTGCTCACAGTTGGCTAACAGCTGCCAATAGCCTGCAGCTACCTGCACATTTGATCACAATTAACAAGCTTCTACACAAGAAATATGCAGGTAGGTGTACCGTCACGCATTCCTAAAGTCGATGGTTAAACAAGAGGTTTGTGTACCCTGCAGCATTTTTTACTTCCACTATCAAATACCACAAATACCTGATCGTGTGTCTGAGGGGAAGAATGAGGGCTGTGAATATGTCACGTGTTTGCAGACATGGAACTGGGGCACACACGTGTCAACTCACCGTGACGTCACCCAGCGGTTTGTTTTTGGTATTTTGTTCAAGCACAATCAGACATCAACATGCACAAATCAATCAACAGCAACTTGAAGCATTTAGTAGCCTGATCACAGAAGGAATTAGAAGGCGGCATGAGGGCATGACAGAACCCCCTGTATCAGAAGATGGCTTCTGTATCAGAAGATGGCTTCTGTATCAGAAGATGGCTTCTGATACAGGCCGTGAATCAACGTCCATTTTTATACAGTACCTTCAATGAGCGGAGTCAGAGTGAGGTATAGGACGTACACGACTGTAACAAGTCAGTCGTATTGTACACGATTGCCGTTGTCTTACCTCGTAGCACCACTGCCACTGGAAAGGCATCGTGACCTTGAGCAGAATGGCTATGATCCTCGTGAAGTAGATGTAACACACGATCTAAAAAGAAAGAGAACAGGGTTTTCAGTAACTATACATAGTTGCCCGTCTATTGCTTAAGCGGGTGTAACTTTGAAACAAACTTAATTCCCTTTTTTGGTCTTCAACAGCACAAGAACCTTCTGTATTTAAGGTTTGCAACACAAGTGTCTAACTGTGTTGTCGTTGGTGGTTGTTTAACAGATGGTGAACTGATGTGTGGAGGGTGGAAGACAGAATGAAAACACTGACGGGTTGAACTTCCTCTTACCATCACATAATAATGCCGGAAGAGCTTGAGCTTCTCCAGATTCATGGCAGCTGAAAAGCAAGTTGAAGAAATAAATTACCAGCTTGACAAAGAACCTGATGATTTTATGGCTGTTAATGATCAAGACTCTGACCTTTGCCGTCGATGCTTGAAGCCTCCTGGAGATGACGGATCGACCTATAAAGACACATGTTTAGGTTTTAGCTTCTATGGAAACAGCCAGATGCTTGTACACTAATATCAAAATAGATTTTTACTATGGAAACTAATACAAACTAAATGAACCATGCACACACACACACACACTGACCAGACAACAGGGAATAGAATGGCTCCACAGCAGATGAGGTCAACAAGGAAGAGGATCTCCTTCCACAGGTAGTATTCACTGGAGCCTTCCTCTGTAGACTCGATGATGATGTAGGCAACGTTAGCCAGAACCTGGAAGATGGCGGTTGAGTCGGTCACTAAAACAAACCCACTGAATGTTACACAATTCCACACAGCTACAGTTTCTCAAGCACACGCACCTGCAGGGGGATGACGATCATGAAGATCTTCTTTTCCTTGTCGGACAGGATGTATTTAACGAAAGCCCAGCCGGTGCCGATGAGTGCCAGTGTGATGAAGAGGAGAGCTCCTTTGAGCCTGGGAACACGTCAGAACAAACTCACGTAAAAAAAATCTATTTTAAAAAGACTTAACACCCCCCCCCCCTCCCGGAGAAAGTGTACTTACAGGTGTGTGATGTAATACATGACAGCCCAGCCCTCGATAGGATGCCCCTTGGTGTTGATGAAGTGAAAGTTGATCTGTGACACGAGGAGAGATTCATTTTTATAAACGGTGGTGAGCAGCACTAGCAGTTCAGACAGAATAACCAGACATCACAATATAAACCGTCTGAATTAAAGCCAAATACAAACAAGACATACAAGAGAGAAGTCTGCAGTGACGGTTACTCACACTATGGAAAACCAATGACGTGGCCTTGGTGAAGGCCAGTGCTGCCATCAGCCAGTGTATCTTAAACACGCTGTACCTGTAAACATGTGCACAGGGAGAGACGCTTCAACAACTACACAGAACAACAACATCTCAATATATGAGAAATATATTCGTATTTACATGAGTGCACATATCACTGTATTGTTCTGAAACTATGTCTTCAAAGTATATTAAGCCGTTTTAGACATCAACTCCGGTCCTCAGAATGGGGTCTGGACTTTCTCCGGTGTTTGTCTTTCACGTGTGAACAAAGCAGCAGGAGATTCTCTGCTCAGACGATTTCACAACGACACAGAAATCTCTGGAGTGTTCAGGTGAGAACATATAAATTCCACTGCAAAGTTGTGTGGTATCTTTACATGAGAAAGCTGTTAGATACTTTGACACTGAAGTCGTGTCAGTTCCTGTGAGCGTGCGTACCTGTGCTTCATGAGTGTGTACACCCAGACCATGGCAGCGGTGAAGAAGACTCCAGCCATACAAATGTACAGCCGGGACAGGGGGATTTCTGCTGCAGACAGGTAGCCGCTGAGGTTCTTCTCCGTCACTTCCACCTGCAGACGATACATTCATGTTAACGTGTGCACAGACGTGGGCATACACACTCCAACATCAACACGCTACACTTACAGTGAATGAGTAGGGCCGTTTTAATCCAGGCATCTTGTTCTGACAGTAGTGAAATTTGAGGCTGTAGAGACCCTGCGCCAGCGGGCCAATCACAATGTTGAACTGTGGAGGAGGGACAGAGACTTTCACACAACAGCAGATCACATACAATTTTTCTTAATCATCATTAAGAAGAGTTTACTTACACTGAAGTTATATGAGCCGTTGACTTTGTCCAAAGCTAAAGTCAGTTTCTTGGTCTTCCCCAGCTAAAACAAACAAACAAACAAGATTAGACATTGATTTTATGAAACGATCACACAGACAGAAACATACACAGACATTTCTCACATCAAATCTATTTTCCTCCTCTTTTGGAGCTTCTTCTGGTGCTTTCGGTTCTGTCTTCTCATCCTTTTCCTGAACCACAGACTTGTCCTTTTTGTCCTCACTTGTCTTATCTGGATTCTCTGGAGTGCCATTTGGTTTAACGTCAAGAGCCTCCCTGGATTTCCTCTGACCTACAGGACATTAAATGTTCAAAGTACAGTTGGTATAAAATGATTCTGTCATTCATTGAGGTTTTTACATGTGACTGCAACAGGAGGTAAAAGGCTGAATAATTTCGTAAGAGGTGTAAAGTATGACCGACACTGACCTTTCGGCTCATTAGCCTTTGGCCTTGCTGTCAAGATGTTGTCTTGGTCACCTACAGCTTTCACTGTGACGCTACACAAACACATGGTAGACATTCGACACTGTAATAAACACTTCGTGATATTGGTGTTGAACCATTAGACATTTTCAGACATTAATATGAAGAATGCAGGACGAGATTATCCGATTGTCTCTCTGGAGTTTATACTCGGCGGCTGGCAGGAAAAACTCATTTATGCTGCAGCTGACTGGGACATTTGCTTTCTCACAGTCTGACTTTGAAAGTATCTTCACAAACCTGAGGGAGTGGATATTGATGAGAAAAATAATAAGAGGCTCCTCGTTATTGGCCGACTCCTCTGTAATGAGCGGACATCTTTCTGTCTCCTCTACCTGAAGAAAAAAAAACACAACATCTGAGCAATGCAGTGCACATCAGAAATCTGATATGTCAGTATCATACAACACATGGCAGAAATATCCTTTGAAAGCATCATAGCATGACTAAGATGAGCAGCTGGTTTAAGTTATCTGTAATGAAGTGGATGTACTCACTGTGTAGGGCAGGACTCCATTCACACGTGACCTAGAGAGGGTGAAACCCACCTAGACACAGTGGAATAAATGTGGTCAGTCAGTGGGTCAACAGCACATGACTTCCAGTATAAATATTGTATATTTCACTCTCTATGTCATTCAGCTCTTGGTCAAAGACAAATCACTCTACCAATCCAACATCCAGTAATGGATTGACTGTTCAACAGCATATTCAGTCTTACACTAAACCAACTCACAAGGATCCTGTGAAATTAGTGAAATGATTGTTTCTCTCTTGTTTCCTTACTTTCAAAAAACCCACTACAGTCTCAAAACCAATGTCAAAATAAGAATATAGACGGAGAATAATTAATGGATCTTGTTGAGTTATTAACTCACCACTATGCCGATGGAGGGGTGGGTGACGTGTCACAAAACATGCCTCCATACTGCTCCTGTGGTGCCATCCGAGTATCCGTAAACCTCAACATATTAATTAGTGGACATTTAGGGTAGAAACATGGTGTAGATGACGCCATTTCAGGTCCAAATTGAATGCAGGGGCTTACGGACACATCGATGACACCACAAGGAGCAGTATGGAACATTTTTACGCTGTTTTTCTACGTTTGAATAATCTGTTAGCATTTACTTCAATTGAATTGGATTTGGCTGCAACTCTGTTTACCCCTGAAACTCCTGAAGTGACTCAAACTCTTCACCCACCCCTGCGTCCGCATTGTGGTGAGAAGATAACGAGTCAACTCTCATTTTTGTGGCGTGAACCACCCCCTTCAAGTTCCACTGTGGTGTTTTGTTGAATGCAGGAGCTGTGTGTTACCACGTGATTGAACATGCGATAGTGAAGTCAACACACACACACACACACACGCATAAACAAACACTCGTTACCGGGTTGGTGCTGTAGTTCACCAGCTGGTAGTCGGGGAGCTGCAGAGAAGTCAGGCTGACGTCCAGGGTCCCGTTAGCATAGAAGCCAAAGTTGTTGAGGTCGACAGCAAAACGACTTTCATTCTGAGGAGAGAGAGAGAGAGAATGGAGGCTTCACACAGGAAGAGCTGAGGCAAACATCGAGCACATCACCTGATGCTCTTCACAGATACGTCACCGTCATTACACAACTTCCTTATTCATCGCCTCACGTCTGATTCGGTTTTACACAGTTTATCACGTTGCGTCTCTACACTGCAGCTAATTACAGCGAACTAGCGGCTGCTAATGAAAACGACTACAAGCAGCTAACCCCTCCGCGTTAGCTTCCCCCACCCACCCCCAGAGAGCTAACACCGACCACGCTTGAGTTATACCCGCCTGTCCGTCGACTTACCCTGAGGGTGAGCTTGTGTATCCTCGCTTCGCACCCAGCCACCAGCAGCAGGAGGAGGAGAAGCCCGGCCAGCACACATCCTCTCCGAGCCTCGGCCATCACCACCGGGGTGCACTGCCCGATAACGGTCAGCGGCTAATGCTAAAGCTAAAGAGAGCGACAGTTCCTTCCAGATGGCTAACGAGCGAGCGGGTTAGCGGCCTCGGCGGCAGCCGGGACGGGTCGGTTGTTTTTTTCACGTCGGGCTCGCCGGCTCCTGTGCTGGTTGTTAGGCCACAACAGTCAGAGTTGTGTTCCCCGGTTCCTCCGTGTTTTCATCGCGCAGGGAAACAGCCTCGGCTAACCGCTAGCTCAGAGGAGGCGCTAGCTCACTTCCGGGTCTCTAATGAAGAACACAACACGGAGCCAAGGAGCGGACGGACACGTCACACGCTGCACGCTGACGTCAGCGGAAAGTAGTTTTTCTCCCGCTGGTATTTTTATTTATTTTCTAATCGCAAAATAAATCCTTGATTTGAAGCTTGGAAACTTTAAACGTTGCAAACTTTTTTTTTTTTTTTGAAAATGTTTCTCATCCGGGTTTTTTTGTCCGTGTATTGTCTCACAGTCTTGTAGATGTTGTCTTTTGCATCCATGTCTTTATTCTGACATGTCTTTACCATTTTTGAAAAAATATTTAGGTTGAAAAATAATAATAAAAAAAACTCCATCGTCCTGTCTACACCTTGTGCTTGCTGTCCTAGATTAGGTCACGTGCGTTGTTACGGACTTCCGGATAAAAGTGCTCACGTGACTGAACCTCCACGTCATATGAAATGTCCCTTCAGACATCGGACGTGTCTGACACGTGGAACTTCTTTGTTTTTGTGTTAATCACTGATCAATTTGTTGATTCCGTGATGAAATGAAGATGTTGACAAAAGCTGCAGGTTTTACTTCGTATATTCAGCATCACTTTGGATGACAAGGCTTTTTTTAAATCTTCCTCAGTGGTGAATAAAATATGTACTAATGCATTTATAGCTCAGTTATAATCATGGAGGGATTCTTATGACCAGAGGCTGTGAAAACAAACAGGCCACAGACCTCTACACACACGTCTTCCCACAGGCCATCAGACTATTGAATACAACTTTGAACTCTGCCCCCACCCCCTCACCCCACTCCACTGACACAACTTCACTACAAACATGTGAATTAATCAATGTGCAATAACCATCACAATAATCTGGACACTCAGCACAAACATATCTACCTCGAGTCTGCATTTTTGTACATTTTTATAACATTTTGTAAAGAATTACTTGCACTATTTTCTATTTCTATATATTTCTTCTATTTCTTTTAATACTATTTTATTGTATAATATTTGTATGCTGGGAGATTGAAAACAAAGTAAGAATTTCATTACATGCTGTAAACTGTGTTTAGCTGCAGTGTACATGACAATAAACATCTTGAAGAATAAACATTTTGAATCTAGATAGTACACGTGTGTGCATGAGGGCCTCATACAATCGAGATATCACTTTGACATTATATTCGTTATTTAGACATGTTGAGAGGACTGGAGCGTCACATAAAGTCTTAATGCAATGTACACATCATGACATCACATGATTGAATCTGCTAATTTACACAACATTTAAACTATTTCATTATCATGCAACATTTTCCAAATCACATTTACCTCAATATAAAAAACTAAAAAGAAAAGTACCATATTAATAAGGCAGAGGGCCCCCATTAGCTCCAGGGCCACGAGCAAGTGCCTGCCTCTCCCCTGCAGTAATCCATCATTGGTCCGTTAATAACTTTCACTCATATCAATGTTTAACAACTATATTCTACATAAAATGTAAAGGCTTACACTCTCTGTATACCTGTTGTTTATTAAGCTAAAGTATTTTTAAGATATATTAAAAGTCTAAAAACAATGTCCTGCTCAGTGAGACTTAAAAACAGCTTCAGCTGTAAAAAAGAAGAAATGTACAAAGATATGAAATATAAAAGACCATGAATCTTTAATGGACACAATATAAAAACAATTAAAGGGATGCCCCGTGGAAATAATAATTATCCACTTTCTGTTCTGTTGAATTCATTTCTGTAAGATTCATTGGCATCAAGTGGTGAGTTTGAGAATTCCAACCATCTGAGTAACCTTACATTGTGTATAAAGATGGACGACAATTCAGCTACTCAAACCAAAGCATCTCCTCCCAGGTCATAAATCCTGCCTCCTCCATGTTATCGGATGGGTCAAAAGAGTCAAAGTACATGATACATTTTTTTTTTCTAAAAGATGGTTTCGGTCATTCTATTTAGTTTTTATAACTGATGTTATAAGGCAAGTTTGATTTGTCTGTTCTGGGTAACTGTAAAAACATGTCAGTGCAACTGTGGAAGAGGATTTCTGCCAATCATTTATTTGAAGATGCTTATATTCCAAGATCCAGAGGTGCTCCCGTTGACCATCGGAGCGAAGATCACACTTCCCTGCTGAGCGGACATTGAGGCAGGAGCAGGAGTCACAGCAGGGGAGGAAGTGGAGGTAGCTGCTGTTTTTCCCACCGAGGCTGAAAAGATACAGATGTAGAGAAAAGGTAAAGACACTGGAAGGAAGCTGGTTGTTGTTGGTTACTTGGACTCACAGGGGAGTTTATGGAATGAGTCGTCCACTGCACCTGAGTAATTGTCCTGTAACGTCTCCGCATCGCTGTTGAAGCTCATCTTCCTCAGGATCACAATGGAGATTTTCACGGCCGACTCTTCGCCGTAGCTGCCAATCATCTTGGTGATGGTTTCTGTCCGGGACGCCTTCTCCAGATGGGACTTGGCAAATGGTTTGCAGCCGTCCAAGACCTTGATGGAGAGGTACCACTGAAACGTTTTGAAGTCTCCATCGCGCAGATCCTCCAGAGTCTGTAAGAGCAGCTCTTCAACCTGCATCTCTGCTCACTGCACAGACAGAACGTGGAACATTTGTTTTAGATTAAAAGAACAGTTTTTGATGATGTTAATTCAGTGGATTTTGTGAAACTGTTTGTGTGTCTGCTCATAATACTTGGCTGGGAACAAGCAGAAATATAAAGTTTAAACAGTTTGTTTATCGTGAGCAGTGTGGCTATAAAGGTGGATTAATTAAAACGAACAGATGAATCCTTTATCAATAACAATATTTTTGAGTTTAGCTTCATTAAAGGTGATGCATCATACAATTAGTTTTGTTAAGTACACAGTTTCTAAATCAACTGGAATCACTTATTTGACCCAAAACATTTTGCACAAACAGAAAGGAAAATATTAACCCTTTGTTTTAAACCATTATAATAAAAGAAAAAAACAAGTTTCATTATTACTGCTTACTGTCCTCATGACGTGTGTAACTGTGTGTGTGTGCGACGACACATACCCATGAGAATATGATGGAGTAGAGTATCTAATGATGTTTATGTTTGATCTGTACCCTTTGTAATGAATGACTGAGCTGGTGGCACAGAGGAAGTAATGTGACAGCAGCCGACAGCAACACATGAGGTGTGATGAAAACAGTTTACATTAACAATCACCTACAGAAAGTCAGACATAAACATCAGAGACAACAGTCATGTCCTGTCATGTGTGACTCCAGTGTGTGTGTGTGTGTGTGTGTGTGTGATCCAGAAGAACTTACTGTGCCACCAGCCTCAGATAAAACCCACCACCGACGGCTACCGTGAATAAAATGGCACAACCTTGGGACAGGAAGTTCACAAACCACAGCACAGAGAGAACAGAGCCGGAAGCTGAGGAGAAAAAAAACCTTTTCTACCGAAGGTGAACTGAAAGTGCCTTCAGTAACACAGTCTGTGGCAATATGATTATTAAGATGTCATTATCAAACCCTTAAAATAACAATAATTACAATAATAATAACTTAGTACATTGAAAAACTGGGTTTACAAAGTGTTTTGAAAGACTTCACTTCACTCAGGGGTTATTACAAAAATAATGCCGTCACACTAAAAGAAAAACCACTTTACATAAAAGCAAATAAATACAACTAAAAAGGACAAAAGGCAAAATCCCACCACCGACTAATGATGATACATTTTGTTATGAATAAAAAATAAAACACAGATACAACCCGATATATAGAACCACTTGATTTAAGAAGATAAACATAGATATGTGTCTCTGAAAAGCTCATATCTTCAGATTTTATCGACCAAACAGTTAAATGGTCGGAATCTACTGGTCACAACTTAAACAGCGTCTTTCAATGGGGCCAAGGATGCTTTACACATTCATTATTATTATCTAGGGGACAAAGACATAAAGTGAGTTAAATCCATTCTTCACCAAAACACCTTTTTCTATTGTTATATAAAATAAAGATTTTATGGAAATAAAGTATGTGAAAGAGGAAAATGTACAATGACACAGATTTTTTTTTTTTTTTAGGTTGAGGTAACTTTAAAAAGAAATTACAGCCGTCATTGTGTGGAGTTTTCTGAGACAATACATGTTTAAATTCAATGGTATGTATTTTCAATGGCTCCACAGTGGCCCATTGCTGTGTAAGTAACACACACACACACACACACACACACACACACACACACACACACACACACACACAGACAGACACCCTCTTGCCCTCCTTGCTTCAGCACTACACTGCATTATTCTTGACCCTCCCTTCCTTCCTCTCTTGATATACCAACAGAGAACGCCCATGGTGGGTTTCAGAGGCCAAAGCAAAGGAATCGCCTGATTATTACTTTCAGACACACGAGTGCACACACACACACACACACACACACAAAGAGACATGTATACACACCCATGCCTCAATAAAAACCCGATGTACTCAGAGTTTCCCCTCATAAGTCTCGGACAGTGTCCCAGCCGGCATCACACAGCCTGTAACGTGTGTTTGAGGGAGACGTCCCGTCAGCAGTCAGTATTCTGAACCAGGGAAACAGATGAAGGATGTTTGCTTCTGCTCGGCCAATCACGCTTCTGCTGCTCCACCTGTTCGGCTCAGGTGAGTGAGACAACTCCTTCATGAGGAATGAAAAGACTAAAGAGGTCAAACGTGAAAAAGAGAAAGAAACAGCGATAGATGAGCAGAGATCGAGGGTGTGTGGAGTTTGTAAAACCCTCCGAGAGGAATTTAAGTAATTCTGGGCTTATGAATACAACTTAACTGGAAAGAGAAAATGTGATTTCTTTTGAGGGGCCGTAAAATGTTTTTTCTTCTTTTTTTATGATCTGGCATCATTTTACAATAATTCACTGCTCTCAACCTGGACAATGAATGATCCCAAATACATATTAAATCACATAAATCACAGCACTAGCAGTGTTTCACTACATTAAATAACATATTCAAGTTCACTTTGGAGGTAAAATTACATTTGACCTTGTGTTTCAAATTTCTGTCTCTACTTCATCACATTACAAGTGATATTTCTTTATCTCGTGCACACAACATATCAACTAATTAACTCATTAAAGCCAATTAACTGGTGAAAATGAATTGAATTGATCTCCATGTGTTTGTTGGTCTGCGTACAAGAGCAGCAAGAATTTCCCTCTGTGACATTCCAAGGTAAAAATAGGGGTTCTCTTCATCACGGCGGCTGCGAGCATCTGAAGTCGATAGAGAAACAAATGGATTTTAAGTAGATTACTATGTGCGCACCAGATTAGAGGATATCACCTGTCGGGACTCTGTTCATATCTATATGTTATAACATATCTGACAAAGACGTCCTTCAGTGATGACAGTTTGGCTTCTGACAGTTTTTGGCTTTAGAGACTCTGGACAGACAGAACCTGCTGGTCGCCCTGTGTTTGTGCCGAGTGGCACGTGGGAAACATAACTAAGTGTGACAGCTGCTCTGCTGACACGCACCAGCCAGCTACTGTGAGTGAGATCGTCTGATAGGCAGGAGAACAACCTCAGGATCCAGTGGAACAATGGACACAGAAAAAAGAAGGGAGTTCTTTTGACTTGGGCAGGGTGTCCTTCCTTCCTCAGAGGAACACACTGGGTGTATTCAGTGAGCTACGAAACAATGGTTCACAATAGATCAGCTAAAAAGAGTATTATTCCACGAGATGGCAAAATTCAATTGACCCTTGAGTATATTATGATAAGACAGTGGGAAATGACTCACAAGTTCATACGACTCACATCACCAGATAAACATTATTATAAAGTGATTTCTATAGTTAATCGAGGGCAACTGGCCATAACTCCTTGTACTTAATTATTCTGAATTCAATGTTCATATGTTTATTGAAAAGCTCTGTTTTTGTTTACATATTTAACAGACTTACCATATCTTTCTCTCCTTCCTCTCCCGACCTCTCCTGTGACCTCAGCTGCATCATATTCCATTCACAAACCTGTTCCACCTCTTCCGTGGCAAGTCTCCGCTCCCTCACCCGTCCCATCAGATCTCCCGTCTTTCCCCTCATCTGTCATCCCCCCTCCCGTCATCAGCAACACTGGAGAGTCAACCAAAACCGCCCACTGCCCCCTGACCACGTCGCCCTCCATTGTGGTCGTCAGGTATGGAAGGAATAACTGATATTAACTTTCAGGTCAACTTTACAAAAATGTTTTCTCACAAACAATGAATATTTTATAGCTCAAGTAGCTTTTCCAATTCGCACGGTTCTTCTCTGTGTCAGTGTTTGTGACGACTAAACTTCTCCCATCACAGGTTTGGGGATCCATTCACAGTCAACTGCTCCGTAGGAAAGATGAATTTCTCTGCCCTGGGTTGGGCGGTCCATCTGGTGAGAACCCTGTTAGCTAAAGAGAAATGCAACACTCCAACACTGATGCACCCTTTAATCGGCCAACAGCACCAAAGACAGGATTCATAGCTGGATCTTCTAATATTGCCCCATTGTGTCTCAATAGTTGTAATTTGATTTGTGATGTGTTGTGACTCCAGGAGGCTCCTGCGGCTCCTGCGGCTCCTGAGTTCACTACGAATCAATCTCTGGTGTGGAGTGTGGAAAGGATGACCCAGTGGAGCATCGAACCCAAATGCTACGCTCTGTGTGATCAGGGAGGACCGTGCGACATCGACGTCCCTGTTATCGTCTACAGTGAGTTTACAATTTCATATTAAGACATAATAACTCATGCTATCATTAATATCATTATCATTTTTTTGCACATGCATATACACAAACTGTATTGTAAATAAAACTTAGAGCACAAATCACAACATTACACTGATTTTATTTAAAGGTCCAGTGTGTAAGATTTAAGAGAAAGGAAGGTTTCCACAAGTTCTCTGACCTGTTTAGAAGGGGAGGGTGACCTGCAACATGAAACTTCACCACTAGATGTCACTAAATTCTACACACTGAACCTTGAACAAATTGTATCTCTCCGACATGTCAAATTATACGAATCTTTTCTCTGTAGTTGATCTGTTCACCTGCCTCCACAGAGCCTCCAGACCTCGTCTTCCTCAGCGTCGTCGATCACTCTGGGCCGATGTTCGAGGGTCGTGAGTACACTCTGCAGTGTGTCGTGCAGGACGTGGCTCCTGTGGGACACCTCACCGTGACCTTCTATAGGGGACAATCAGCTTTGGGTCAACTGCAGTCCAACAACACGGAGAAGTCCCCAGTGACTGAGGTCTTCACTCTGGACATTATCCTCAGTAAAGAAGACGATGGAGTTCAGTACTGGTGTGAAGCCGAGCTGGAACTGGGACCAGACGGACCACAGCCCCCTCCAGTGGTGACGTCACAAAAACTCAATGCCACGGTCCTCTGTGAGAGAAACAGCTAGCAAAATTTAATACAAATTTAAAATTTATTCTTTTTTAACTAAACAATTGATTTATTCTCAACCCCCTCTTTGTTTTCCCGCTCTCCCACCTGTAACTTCTCGTCTCTCCCAGTTGGTCCACACCTCGCCTGTCCAACGAAGCTGCAGGTGAGAGAGGGAGAGAGTCTGGCCTGTGAGGTGAGAGGGAACCCTCAGCCGTTGGTCACCTGGTACAGAGACGGACAGAAGGTCGCCTTGCCCGCTCACTCGGACAGAAAGCATGCTGGGAAATACACGGCCTGGACGAAAGGACATCTTGGACAGAAAAACTTTACAGTGGAGGTGGAGGTCCTCTTTGGCAGAGGTAGGTTTGTGTCATCTGCACGGCAATAGACTTAAAGTGCTGAATTTCCATCAAGCTGCAATGAATTACAAACAATAATAAATGTCAGTCCTCTAAACCCTGATTTCTTTAAAATCAACACCCATGAATTATTCCCTGGGAAACATCCCATCTCACAACGCTAAAGTTTGTACAATAAAATATAAAATCAATTCTTGGTGAAATCAATGAAAATGTTGAAGAATCTCCCAGAGTTACATGATAATCCGTCCAGTCGTTTTTGCATAATCCTACAAACACACACAGATAACACAACCTCCACGGTAACAAAAGTAAACCATCGCACACAGAAGAGCTTCAATCTAGATTTTAAACTCCCACTGTTTCCATTACCACTGTAATTCTCATTTATTGGTTTTGAGTGTTCCTCCTGAAAATTCTTGAGGAATAAAATCTCAAAAAGCAAATTTGAGCAAAGGAAAATTAAACTGAGCTAAAAGTTTAAAATGTATTAGAAAAATAAATGAAGCAAAAAGTTTAAGATGAGCCTGTAATAATAATTTATGTCTTTTCCTCTTTCCAGGAACTGCAAACAGCTTTAATGGATATTTCCTTTTGGCCATAATCTTAATCCAGATGATTAAGTGGCTGTAAAACCTCCTGAAACAGAACCCAGCATCATCTGTGATCCCCCCCCCCCCCCCCCCACATCATTTGGATGAACGGCCCCCGATATGAGAAATATTCTAAGAGCTGGAGTCAGCGAGGAGATTCAGTGTTTCTCTTTTGTCCCAATGGATCTTTTTTGAATTCTTGTCTTTTTGTGCTTCTTTATGTTCAAGGTACATTTTCATCTGTTATTACACTGAAGCCTCCACATCATCCACAACAGCTACATTTCAACTTGTCACGTGCAACTTCATCACAAATCATTCACACACACACAATTCTGTTCTCTCATTTTTAAAACTGTCCACAGGTCTTACTTCACTGCTGTGCATTAAAATGAACAATCAAATGCACGGCAGCAGTAAGGCTGCAACTTAATCTACCATGACCTTTTCCCATAGTTCCACATGTGTGAGAATCTTGTATAAAAGTGTAAAAAGTATGCAACTGAAACTTTGTGCTGTCGGATGGAGCTCACACCAAAACACAACCTTCCTTTACCGAGATACTCTTCAGGAATAGGGAATCAAATTTGAACAATACTCACGTGAGATTTAGAAAACATTCATCACTTCCAAGACGAGAGAAAAAATCCTTTTGGGTATAGACTACTGCATGAATGCTCAAATGTCTATATCTCTTATCCTTTATGGGTCATGGGGGGGGACGAGAGGTGGGGCACAGGCTGGACAGGTCAGAACCAGGAATTGAACCAACAACCTTCTTGCTGCACCACATTTTGTCCAATATTTAAACTTTTTGTTCAAAATTGATTTAAAGGTCCAGTGTGTAAGATTTAGGTGAAAGGGAACTATTGGCAGAAATCTTATGTAGAATAATCCTCATGATGTTTTCACTAGTTCATTTAATCTAAATTGTATGAATTGTAGTTTTCTTTACAACAGAAAAGATCCTTTATATCTAAATACTTTATATTTACATGGAGGGGACCCTCTCTACGGAGGCCGCCATGTTTTTTACATTAACTAAACACCTTTTGAGTTTTTATGACAATTAAAGTCTACCACAGGTTGTTTCTCATGTTTGGAAGGAGAGGGTGAGGGGAGGGGTGTTCAGCTGCAACATGACACTTCAACACTAGATATCACAGAATTCTACACACTGTACCTTTAACTCATGTTAACACAATCAGGCTAAAA